ACAGTACATTTCAAGTAATAGAACACATATCAGAAAGAAACTCATCAGTACTAAAATAGCATTTCGTCATAAAAAAATTTTTAGTGAAATTGTAAAATGATTTGAGAGACATTAATTTAATATTCTCGTGCTTGAAGAAATGAACCAATTTATTATATAAATCTATTTTGGGTTTATTATTTCTAGTTATATTAATCCTAGAGAAAGGGACTATAAGAGCTCCACGGTGCCTAGTCTTATATTCATGTACACCAGAATGTGTCGGAATGTTTGGCAAATTTTTATGAACCAGATACAATGATTCAAGTAGATATAGGCACGGGAGTGGCAATATCTTAAATTTTTGGAAGTAAACCCTACTATGAGTATAGTTTGGTACACCCGCGATAAGACGAACAGCGGCCTTCTGTATGACAAATGGTTTGAGAGCAAAACTTGAATTACCCCACAAATTAACTCCATAAAGAAGATGACTGTGAATCAATGAAAAATAAACTATTCGCATAACTTTGCTATCCACAGAAGGCCGCAGCTGTCTCATAACATATATCTGGGTCGCAAGCTTTGAGCACAAACAACGGATATGATCTGTCCATCTAAGGCCAGCGTCCAAGGTAATACCTAGCAACTTTACAGGATCAGATTTAGCACATTTTTTATCTGATGTAAAAGATATATGTTGAGTCTTAGATACATTCAGTTTTAATCTATTCGCTGAAAACCAGGTTTTTGCTTCATTCAAGCTGTCTGTGCTCAAATTTCCTGGTGTTAGAATAGTAGTGTCGTCAGCAAAAAGGACACAAGTACCACTAGAAATATTTGTAGGTAAATCGTTGATATAAATCAAGAAAAGTATTGGTCCCAACACAGATCCCTGAGGTACTCCTCTTACAACAGGGAGAAGAGTAGATAATTTATTGTCACTTCTTCTTGTTACACTTTGATGTGATTTATAATACTTTAACCCTGACAGCACTTAGTCCAAGACTTAATAGTAGAACAAATACCGTGCCGGACTTAGTCCCACCTATTATTTGCTTGGGTGGCTGCAAACTGCGTCGCTCATCCACGACCTCCCTGCGAACTTTTCGCCGCCGAAATCAGGAGTATACAAATAGCGATCCTTAGGCCTAAGCCCCTCTTTATATAATCTCGGCTTACTCCAAAGGAGGGCAGAAGAACGACGGCGCGGCCCACATAATGACAGTTGAGGGTGTAACGGTAGTCCCGGATTTATCCCTCCCCAAAAAAACTAAATCACCGTTCAGACTTTTATCGGGTTAAATGTTTATTAGCTTTACACAGACAAAGATTCCCGCGCGTGGCGTTATATAAATGGCTTAGTGGACGCAGACGGATCGTTGCACACGGAAAAGGGCGTGTAATTATCTGGCTGGAGCGTATTAGTGAGGTGGAACTGTCAGTTAACTTTTTTGTTATGTACAATATTGTTAAAGATATGGCTACGTCTAATCTCTAGAAACTACGAGAGTACAATGTAATGTGTTTGATTTATTTTTTGTGCTACTCGATTCCTCCACAAATTATAAATCACCATGTACAAATTTACAGTTTTTACTTTTGTTAGTTATTATTGATACCCTGTATAAAACTACTGACAGGAAACAGTGTTTATGTAAAAAAAAACTGTTTACGTCCAGCGAGAACTTTCCATTTCTCCTAAATTTGGGACCTAACGATGCTTATATGTACAGAAGGGAAAGGGTGACTTCAAAATTAGCACATTCAGACATGCAAGCATTAATCCTCGTCCAAAATGTAAACGATGTGACGTTTTGATAACACCGTGGCTATATCGTTAATTAATAATGCCACGATTATGCGGCAATACACGTATAACAGGTACACTCTTTGTTGGGTTATAAAATTGATTTTACCATTTAGAAGCATCATTTGTTTAACTCTTTGTAACGTAAGTTTCTGCAGAGATATCAGTATGTCATTGACGACACATTCTAAAACAGTTCATTTTTAAAATAATCGTTTATGTGACAATAATTTCTCCTTATTTTTAACCCTTATATACCACATATAAGGGTTAAAAATGATTATTTTGAAATGAAAAGGGAAGCAAAATGACAAAAGTAAATTCCGATGATACGTAGCAGCATCGATTGAATTATTGTCAGTGTTAAAATATGTCCAACTTTTTAGCTCTTCGGAAATCTGAATGTCCAGTACGAAATTATTATATCACGTTTAATTCTAATTAAGAAAAAGGTATACCTAATTGGAAAAAGTCACTAAACCCAATCATGCTGTTTAATTTCATTTTAACCAATAACCTACCAATAGCCTCTAAACTATTAATGTTATGTAATTCTAAAACTGTTTAGTTTAACGACATTTATGTAGAATTGAATTCGATTAAATGATTTCTTACTGGAAACTCAGATTTTCGAATAGCAGAAAAGTTTGACATATTTTTACTCTGACAGAAGAGTGTAATCTTTCCTGAAGGTATGCACCATTATTAGTGAATCATCCTGTATGAATGATACCAAAGAGAGACAACTAGAACATGTGTAAACTGCAGATAACTGTAATATTAAGAATCTAAATCATTTGCATTTATTCTTTATATTTAAAGAAGACATTTGTTTGTTACTTTTTTTACATAAAATTTTGCAAAATTTCTAAATGGTTACGTCTGTAAAACCACATAGATATAAATGATTGAAGGAAAATACATATAAGCCAGATATCTCCTCATAACTATAAACGGAAACGAATTTCTGTAATTCAATATAATAATAAATTAAACGTATATACCTCCATACTACAGACTTTTATAAGTAACTTTCTTGTTTCAGGGGTTCATCAAAATATACAAACAGTTTTTTCCACAAGGAGATCCCTCCAAATTTGCCTCACTAGTTTTTAGGGTATTCGACGAAAATAACGTAAGTACAATTTAATCCAACATTTATTTTTTTCAGAGAAAATGAATTACTGGGACAAATCTATTATTACCTCGAAACAAAAACAATTGTTAATGTTACATATAATCGTTTATTATTATAAACAGAAATCGTTATATTTTATAAATGAATTCATTGTTTTTATGCTTAGTTACACAAACAAAGATTTTTGTTAAAATTCTCCAAATTTAGACATGAAAATTGCCTTTTGTATTATTAAAAATAAAACAGGAAACATATTCATCAATACCCGTTAGAACACCTTAAAATATTGTATTTATTCCAATTTTACAAGCTACTACTATTCCGCTGTTGGTTCCCCTCACTTCTTCCAATTTAAATGGAAATTGTTTTATTGTCGATGTAAAAAAGGAGACAACTTCATCCAATAAATCTGGCTTAACGGGATTCGAGTTGTTCGAAGACCGAAGCGTTTTTCGTTAAAGCAACACAATTTGAATTTAACTTTTGCCGAGGCTTATTGGTTCGACTTAATTTTTTTATTTTTAACCTACGAAATTTCATATTCAATTAAATATCAATTCAGACCGTTATTTGCATGCGAATATAATGAGCATAGGTCATAATATTGCGCATGTAGTATATTAGCATTTTATCCGCAATACATGACCATGCAGGCCAATAAATAATGAAAGCCGTAAGAAAAACTAGCTCATGTAGCATGAATATATTGCAACAAATCTTAGATTAATTATTAGTACAAGCTTAACACAACGTACCTCAAGTTTCACAAAGCATAAATTCTTGAATACATGAAACAAATAGGACTGATTTTATTATCGACATTACTATTTCATCATATTGTCTTCTTTATGAAACTTTTTTATGAAAGAAAAAATTTTGAGTGCATGCTTATAGAAACATTCTATACATCGTTTTATTATGCTAGAGCTCGCTTCCATGTTATATCTACAATAAAAAATTGATACCATCTCGTGTGGTAGCTACAAAAAAGTCTTGTTTTATGGATTCAGCCAACTAATAGATTATTTTCTTTTGGTAAAGTACAAAAAGTCCTTGTCTGAACCCTTCGGGAATTGTCAGTTTCGGTTGGCAGCACTGTACGCTGTTCCAGCTGTAATATATTCTGCTAGAGAGGGTCAGTGATGGTTTGTCTTTAAGGAATTCAGTTCTTCATACCAAGAAGTCCACAATAAGTTATTTATTAGCGTGCTTATTCAATTTCGGTTTATTCTGTAAGAAAACCAAGACCATTCTACCTTTTTCCATATATTTCCTCCATTTTCCGAAACGATTTTATCAAGGACCCTTTACTTTATGTAAAGCCATAATTTAACTTTATAAAAGCTCGCTTGCATGATAACATCACGTTAATTTATTTGCTTAATCACGCCGTGAAGGATGATTATTCGAAAGATAGATAAAAGGCTGTTTGAACCTACCGAAAGTCACACTAAGCAGAAATTCTTGCAATGTCATGAAGACTGCCACTAGGAGTAACTGCTAACCGACCATAGGAAGGATGACATACAGGATATTACTTATTACCATGTTTATTGCATAGCGCTTGTATCGAGAAATTTCGTAGGAAAGACTAAATTTTCGGCATATGCAAAGCGCTTCCAAAAAATGTGTAGTTTCTTGTAGACATAAGGGCAATTTTTATTTAGATCTTTATTTTATGGATAGTCGTTCTTGCATCTTTGTTAAAATATTTTACAGTATTGCTTGGGGCATAAAAAGTAGCAAGGAAAAGGAGACTCGCTAGAAAGGGACTCTTCATACATATTTTATTATGATTTACAGCGCTTTGTACACTTTTTATACATTCAAATGTTTTGCATCAACCCGTCTGGAGTCTTTTACTAAACCGCAAAACATAAAGGTTCTCCCAATCACGATTTTACATTTTTTGTTGGCTAGATAGTTAACAAATCTCAACGATACGCTACCACGCAGTTTATTTGCGTAAATAGAAGCAAAAAAAGCAGTATAAACTTGTAATGTTATATAACAGGACCACTGATCAGGTTTTATATCGACGTACGTAATCCGTTGATGGCCTATCATCAAATTAGAAAATGGGTCTCGCTCAGTTACCCCGTTTTTGTTAATTTGCTTAGTTGTACAGATTTACTTGACTGTAACAGGGAACAGGCACTTTATAGATTGTCATTGATGAAAGGCAACTTTACACAAAATCAACTACACAGGATGTTTTCTTGATGAGAAGGAGAATATTAGAAAAAAATGGAAAAAAGGGCTTTGATAGAAGAGAAGATATAAATATTAGTTTGCGACTGTATAAGTCCCTTAAAAATGGTACTCTGAGTTCTTTAGTTAGGAACGTTGTGCAATAGACGCAGTGACTTCTGTATCAAACAATTTGAAGGAACACTTGTGGATTAACCGTCACTTCCATTTCTAGTCAATATTTATAAAGGGGAATCTTAGAGAAGAAGGTCCTGGACTCAACAACTCTAAAGCCAAAGTGTTCAGACATATTTATCAGATGATCTCAAGGATATAACAACGTAGAAAGATTCTGCAGCATATTCAGCGGAGAACATCCAAGTGAGGATTGGTTTCCGTATGCAGCAAAACGAAACTCTCTCTCAGCGGTAAAATAAAAATATTTTTATTGAAAACAAAGTGTAGTGAAGTGGAGTATCCCCTTGTGGAGTCGCTCGCGTATTCAGCGCCAATCTGCTGTAGTCCTTTTCCGGCAACCACAGTGTGTGTATTAACATGATACTTAAAATGCATGCAACATGCATAACATTCACCATAAAACTGGAAGGAAATGGTATTCTTCTCTTTTTAAATGCCCCTTCTAAATCCAGAGGAACTCTAGGGCAAAAATAAGGCTCAGTCGACATCTTGGATGAGGCATTGCATGACGTAAGCTGAGGATTTAGAGGAAACAAAATAGCATGGGATTACTTAACACAAATGTCATCTAACAAATAATAAGCTAGAGGACATTGAAGACAGCACCACAAAGAAACACCAAAATTCTAGTTAAGGGGAAAAGATTTTGGCCAGGATTCTAAGCAGCCATTTTTTTTTTTCAGACAACATCTTATAGAGCGAATAAGCCCTTTTAAGCCTAAAGAGCTTCCTTTTTCTTTTTCTAAATAGAACCACTGTTTATACTGGATTCATCCGTGTATTGGGATATTTCAAGCTCCACTAACACCGTTCGCACTGGGCGAATCATCGCGATTAGCCCAAGAGTCGAACCAGGTCAATCAGTCTATTTTTACGGACCGTGTATCGCTTCACGGAGCCATTATCGATGACGCACACCCCAGGAGATCGTCCTGGGATCGCCCTTTGTTAGAAAGCGGTGTGTAATCGCGCAGAACTCTATTTGACCGCTAATAGACAGTGTCACGTTTAGCTGTAGCGTATAATCCCCAAAAGCGTCCGGAATGATATCTCAATTAGGACGACCTCCTTTTTAAGGACGCATGACCCTCTGATTTCACGTCAGGATTCGAATTGGATGCGACGAATAGAAATTGACGAAAAATCCGATCTTTAATTAAGAATGATATCGCGAATGATGAAACAGAGTATTAAAATATGTATTTTAAATTAGGCACATACATCGCCTCCAAAATCCGTCATCTAACCTTAGTAAATTATAAAATAAACTACATGTTTCAAGAGTTATTTTCCATTGAAAATCACTATAGAAATAAACTTGTGGCTAATTAGAGAGGCCATTGCGAAACGTCTCAGAAGACCTACATTGACTGAGACAACCTAAGAACCAAGGACAAGAACCGAATTCAATATCTGGGCCCTAGCCCGAGAACAACAGGGTAGGTCACAGATTCCTATCAAAGTCTAAGCAAGTGCATTGTAAGTCTATAACTGATAATGAACAGGCAAAACAGCCCGGAAAACATCGTACTTTAAGTAATTTCCTTACACAGAATAGTTATTTATTGTATAAGTGTTTATAAGTGTTTAAATATAACAAGCTTACTGCTTATTTAAAGAGTGAATTAAGAGGATACAAAGTAAAAAAAGCTGCAGTATTGGAAAGAGCACATATTGAAGAATTTTTGACTAGGACTAGGGCAAAACTGTATAAATTTACAGTACAAAGTTCACCAACTTTTTAAAGAGTCATTTTCATTTTAATTCATTAAACTAAGTTTTTATAACGGAAAAATAAGCTTAATTTAATATTTAATATACTTAGTAAGTTCTAAAAATAACTTTGGCAGAAAACCTATTCCTGTGATATGATTGATATGAATGTCCCATTTTCTTGACAGCTATAATACGACGCAATATACGCTAGGATTTTTCTGACACATATAAGCAATAAGAAACTAGTGTGACAACTCGTTTTTTTCTTGTAGAATTTCTTTTAAATATTAATCAGTAAAATGTGGAAACAAAAATATACCTATAGCAGCTGTTTTTACCTTTTTAGACTTTGTCAAAGGTGAAAGCAAGGATATAGGATATTTCTCTGAATGATTGAATTATTTGAGAATGTAAATATATCAGTTTTTTTTCTATTAATTATTTAAACATGTTCTAAAAACTCGCTAAAACACATCAAGCATGATTTTAAGTTGGAATGTATTAGGTTTCAAACTCCCCGTGAAAAAAAACTAATGGATTAAGGTCAGACAAACCGGCTGGCCACTCCTGTAAAATCTACCGAACATTTAAAGCATAACAAGCATTTGGAATCCAAGGTGTTTGCTACAAAAAAGAACATAAATATCTTCTGTAATACAAATATCTTGCCACTTGTAAAATATCAGTATTTGCTCGTTTAGTTTTTATAAATTTAATGTCGTCAATGCTTTACACTACATCTAAGACTCAATTTGACTGTATTTCTAAATAAATCCCTGACTGACTCGACTCCCAAGATTCCTGAAAAGAACGACACTATATTTTTCCAGAGTTTCCAGAGTGCATTAGTTTTATCGATTCTAAAGCTAGGCTCCGTCGCTAGATAAATCATTTTCGACATTATAATTCAGCCAGTTGAACTTGGCCCAGACACAGTCTAGGAAAAATTATGTTCAAGGAGTCTCGTCTACATTTTCAACTAATCGACGTGCTTCAGATGAATTTACAGCTGCACAAAAAAGGTACCCCCCCCCCCATTTTTCTGTGCAATATCTTCGCCTAAATTCGCCGATGCAAACCGCGCGGAGCTTATTTATGTTTTTTACGTTTACCTTTTCGAATTAGTTCACACCTGCTATCTAAATTAGTAGCCCTATAATAATTTAGTTTATTCCATGTTTATTACAATATCTAAATTCAAATTTCTTAGATTGGAATATTGGGTAGGTGATCTAATCATTAATTGACATTATACTTGACACATCTGTTAAGTGTCATAAATAGTAATTTTCTCATGGCACAATTCGATACATGTATTTTCAGCAGGAATTTTTGAGCATGTACTGAATTATTGAAATAGATTTTACTACAAAACGGCTCATGGTATTAAAATCTAACAAGAGTGCCTTTTTATGCAAAATATGATCAATTTTCATATTTTCGGTTCAGGAAGTAGAGAAAATGGCGTACAAAAAAAAATTGTAAAATTTGCCCCATAGTCCCGCATTTTCTTACGCCCCTGTAGCAAATTTTGATTTGTATATTATGCCTATTATTAAGCATATAAATAGTAATACAACCCCAAAATTTCGCGAATTAATATTAAACCGTTTTGAAGTTGCAATAAAAACTGTTTCCTGAGTTACCCCTTCAAGGGGCTGTATCTCCCTTAGGGGCCGCCACTGACAAAAACTCTATTAAGATTTTTCTCATATTTCGGTATGTTTTACATACTTTCCAATTTTGAGTACTTATTTCGTTAATATAATTTGCAAATTATTTTCATCCTAGAAAGAAAAACCAATAATAAAAAATCGCCTGTAAATTTGCATATTTACCCGCTTCCTCCCTACGTCCATGATTCCCATATGCACTGGCAATCTCATCTCTTCCCAAGAGAACACATGCTAGGCGCATATTGCTTAAAAATAAACCGATATTGAATTTTCATTGCTTTAGTAACGATTTGAACTATCCAATGTTTTGGAAACAGGACAAAGGAAGCTCTTTATGAGCACATTTCACTTTAGCAATTGTCTCAAAAATAGTATTTTACACTTTAAAATACTATTATTCAGGGTGATTGGCGATAGAATAGAAAGAAAATGATGTAATAAGTCAGACTCCAAAGAAAATCTGTCTATATAACATTTTTCTCTTGAATTTCTAACAAGCAACAAGGCTAACGACTCGCCCTGTATTTTTGCAACCAGATACTTGAAAATAGCGAAAAAATAACAAGAATTCGACAACATTAAATAGTAATAACATTTATTTACATATGTGGTACAATTTAACATTAAATCGTTTAAGTATTAAAATATTTATTAATTGGTAAATAATTTTCAGGATGGTTCCATAGAATTCGAGGAGTTCATCCGAGCACTGTCAGTAACGTCCAGAGGAAACCTGGATGAGAAATTGCATTGTGAGTTACTTTAATTTATATTCATTAACCTTAGTTACGTCGCGATCAGAAGACGGTTCATTTTTCTATATCAACTATTCATATATCAGGATATGTGCGTCCATTAATCATTCATAAATGACACCAAAAAAACTTAACTGAGTAAAGGGACACGAAATCCTGCTGCCTACATTTACTACAATAAAAAGAAATTTCAAGCCAACACCTAAATTCAATCAATAATATACATCTGCAACATATTAATAGGTCAAGTGATAACTGCTTGTCTGAAAGGAATCTTCTAAGTGAAGAACTTTATTATTTTGTTATCATATTAATTTTTTTCGTATCGACCGAAATTATTGCTACCTGAGGGCATTATTTCTTCGTAAAATACCACGCACGCTCCTGTTGTAACTGAAGTAAGTCTTGCATCTCTTGAGAGAGTGAACTACAAGTTAAGTTGACATATGTTTGGTTTTCATGGAAATCGAAAGGTGAATAGATGTCACTTGAAAATTGTGATACTTTACAGGCGTTGAACCACATTTTATTACAGTTTTAACACGTTTTTACCATGGAATTTACAATGAAACTTAGAAAAGTCCCATCCAGAAACAAACCGGATGAAATTACGTCCAGCGGTTGCAGCAAAAACGCGAAGAAGAGACGAAAAACCAACGCCGCTTCGTGCAAGAAGTGCGTCTGTTCCCCATCACAGGCAAATAATGTTTGTTTGTCAATAAATTTGTAACTTTCCCCACTTTTCAACAGGTAAGTACCTTTGAGTTTCCTCCGGTCTGGAAGGAACTAAGAGCGAAAAATCAGCTGTGCGACGGCGTGGTCAAATGCAACGATGGTACCGTCTTTAAAATCCACAGAGCTATACTAGCAGTAGTGAGTCCCTATTTCAAAGCTTTGTTCACCAACTCCATTAACAGAGACCAGGCGGAAGCCACAGAAGCTAAGATGGACATCTCCGCTGACATCTTCAAGGTGCTTCTCGATTACGCCTACACGGGTACCTGTACCATCGACAAGAAAAACGTCAAAGATCTGTTGAAGTACGCCGACCAATACCAAATATTAGACGTGGTGCAACTGTGCTGCAGCTACCTGATGGAAGAGTTGTGCCCTGCGAATTGTCTGGAAATACTAAAATTCGCCAATCAGTACTTCTGCAAAGACTTGGAACAACGTGGCAGGTTATTCATTAGACACAACTTCACGAGGTTGCTGAAGGACAGTTACGAGTTCTATCAGATTACGGCCCAGCACCTGGAGGAAATTCTGAAAGACGATGAACTGAACGTCAAAACTGAAGAAACCGTCTTCGATGCCATCAAGATGTGGATAAACTATTCTCCGGTGAAGAGGAAGACGAAGTTGTACGATTTGTTGAAATGCGTAAGGTAAGGTAACCTTTTAGTGCATCCGCTTTGCTTGTAACACTATTTGTGAAGCATAAATCTCTTGTCGCAACCTCAGTATCAAAAATACATTACCAGTAACATCAGACGTATAAATAATTTATTATTGAATTCAGATTGGGAACACTATCCTACGACAGCGTCCAACAAATATCCAATTGCCTTCTCATTGAAGAAGATGTACTGTGCAAGGAATACATCCTGGACGTCCTAGCCGTTCTAGGTGGCTTAGGTCGGGAAGACGACGTGGACTACATCAACAACTACCTGTTCAGACCAAGAGTTCCCTATACCGTCTTGTTCGCTGTTGGAGGATGGAGTGCTGGCAGTCCCACCAATTTCTTGGAGACCTATGACAGCAGGGCGGACAGATGGTTGTTTTCCGTCGACACGGACTCTTCTCCAAGGGCTTATCACGGGCTGTGCACCCTCAATGGGCTTATTTACATGATAGGTTCGTTGAGAAACATAAAACTTCTTCATAGATAGATGCAACGAGTAAACAGTTCTTTCATGTAGAAGAATATCTTTTATCAAAAGCACATATTGAATTAAAAAGGTAGTATATACATTTCGCTTATTTGGAGCTCCAGATCTGCTGTACGAAATACTCTCTCTTCAGTATTTCTGCCAAAACCTTAAAATCCGAAAAGCAGCCAAAACTTCGCACTATCTGGGTTCCTCCTCCAAAATTTGCTACAACTTTACATTTACTGGGTTTGTCTTTGAATGCAACCAGACAAAAGAGTCTATCTGCAATCAAACCTACATGAAATCTCTGCGTAATCAATCAATGAATTTTACTTACTCTTTTTCCTTTTCTCTCTTTTATGTTCGGATCATCTATAGTAGTTTTGCAACGGAGTAGATTTTCTCTATTCATACGCAACTGTCTTTAGATATTTCACATATACCATTATTGCAGATAGATTCCTTTGTAGAGCCTCTTTCAGAGAGAAATCCATTAAATGTTCAATTGTAACGAACTTTGAAGCTTCGGGGGTTCCTGAAACTCATGAAGAACTACACTTAATTTCTCTGTCTCGAGACTCTAAATTTGTCGTTTGAGTTTGTGATTTGAATCCGTGGAATGTAGAATTTTCCTGGATTTTTAGTTTTCGAGGTGGTTTTCTGATGTTCGTCTGAAACTTATTGCAAGAGTTGATTGAGTCTTTTAATACCCAAAGTATGCAATGAGTCTCGACTCGGTTGTGTCCAAAGGAAATCCTCCTGAATGCAGGTTTGGTTGATTTTAAGGTTTTAGGGATAGTTTCATGGCAATTAAAGAAAAACTGAAAGGTGATGGAACATTTCCCATGGTAGGTTCAGTTTCTGGAGTCCAAATACAAAGAAAAGTAGAACAAACAACGTTTCTTTTGACATCTTTAGCAGCAACATGATCTATTACCACCCGAATACCCCTATATACCTTCTAAATGATTTTCGTAATTATTTTGCATTGCCACCCCATTCTTTCCCAATACCAACCCTTCCCCGGCTTATCCCTATACCTCCCAACTCCCCCAGGTGGCTTCGACGGCAATGACTACTTCAACACGGTGCGCTGCTTCGACCCCCTGGCGCACCAGTGGAGCGAGCGATCTTGCATGTACTACCCCAGGTGTTATGTGAGCGTGGTGGTGCAGGACGGGGCGATCTACGCCATGGGGGGATACAACGGCCGCACGAGGATGAACTCCGCAGAGAGATACGACCCAGAGAGGAACCAGTGGGAGCTGATCGCACCCATGCAGAAACAGAGGTCCGACGCCAGCGCCGCCGCGGTGCACGACAAGATATACATCGTAGGCGGTCAGTAGAGAACGCTTTTATTATACAGGGTGTTGCAAAACAACACGTAGAAGAAAACTTCATATAAATGTGTGGTCTATTGAAGTTTTCGATTCTATTCAAATAATTTATTTTAATGTTATATTATGGAAATCAATATTATTAATATTAAAAAGAAATGTATACAATTTAGGATTTAATGGGCAAGTGGTCATGAGTTCCGCGGAAGTCTATGACACGACGACGAAGCAGTGGTCCTATATTCCCGAGATGATGTCCCCCAGGTCCGGCGTGTCGCTCGTGGCGTTCGACAACACCCTGTATGCGATAGGCGGTTTCAACGGTTACACCCGTTTGGCCACTGGCGAGAAATACACCCCGGATATATCGACGGGGTGGATTGAGATATCTGAAATGTTAACACCAAGGAGTAACTTTGCCACGGTCATTTTGGACGACTATATTTTCGTTATTGGAGGATTTAATGACAGATTTGTGTCAGGTAAGGAGGGTAGTACATACCACAGACTACAAATATCAATGAACGGTAAAAGGTAAGAATTTAAGTAAATAATAGTTCTTCATGATTCTTTATGGTTTAAGATAGAAGGTTCTGGATGAAAGGGTGATATTTAGATGCATCAAATTTTACTATATTAGAAGATTTTGATTTTAGAGGCACACTCTTTGAAACAACTGCTGGGAAAAGAAGAAATAAAGCTACTGGAACTCATATAAAGTTGTATACTATATTTTTTAAGTATGGTTGTAATTTGTGGTCATCCTCGCTTTCACTTAACTTTAGCTTTCTAATTAGGTGCCACAGCTCTTCCAGTGGCTGGTTCACATTCTCTTCAACACTCAGACTCATATTACTGTGTCTGCAATGTCCAAATAACAGCTCTACTGTTATCCTTATTGACATGTGGTTCTGATTTATTATATTAGCTGCCAAACCCGTCAATAGTCTTTTTAAGAACTTCTAGGCTTGCATCTCTTCGGTGGTTTCTTCCCATCACTTTTGAGCCTCGTTTTTCGATTATTTTTACATTACTGTCGTAATTAATGTAAATCAATCAATTAGGAGGGTTCAAACCCCTGTAGTTGAGTCTCCTCTGGCTAAGTTATTAGTCTTCTCGTTGCCGCAATCATCCTCATGCCTTGGTACCCACGTTAGGATCACCTTGCTTTAACTCTCTAGTCCCTAACCTAACTATAACATCTCCATACCAGTCAGGATTTGATTTTGTATGAGTTTATTGTCTTTAGCAACAATTCGTTGGTTTTCTATAACCCTCTTTAGTAACTCTTGGAATGAATCAAACATTTTACTTTTAACATATCTCGCTATGAAACTATTTGGCTCAATGTAAACCGATTTGAAGTTGTGTGGCACCACCCTAAGTATAAACCACCTACATTATTGTTGACCACGAGAAATGCTGCAAGAATTCCAATAGCCAAAGACTGATGACTCTTTGGTTGTACTAGAATTTGAGCTGCTTCATGATCTCCAGTCATTTCTGACATTCCTCTCTATTGCTCTTTACCTTGATACATCATAAGTATACAACAAACACTGGTGGTGGTTAATATGGATCCACATTGTAATAAAACTGCAATGATTTTGTCTCAGTTATCAACATCATCCATTGTATAATACTGGAAACCCTCAGGAGTTTCAATTTGCTCCTTGATCATTCTAGGCATTAATTTTGCTTAATTTAATTATAGACAAATCATTTGTTATCTAGGATCGACCACGATTAATTACGTGGAATACTACGACAACGAAAGCAA